GGGGGCCGCGCGGAAGCCCAAGCGCTACCGGCTTCACGGTTTGCCGGGCAGCCTCCAGACCCTGCGCCCCCAGCTGGGCGCTTCCCCTCCCGGGCTCCAGCTGCGCTGGGGAAGCGCCGGCCGGGGGCACAGGGTCTGGGGGCTGCCTGGCAAACCATGAAGCCGGTAGTGCTCGGGCAGCCCTTTCCGCGTGGCTGGGAGTGGGAGGGAGGAGGGGGCGGAGTTAGGGCGGGGAAGGGGCGGAGTTGGGGTGGAGCTGGGGGTGGGGAAATGGGCGGGGCCTGGGCCTGTGGAGGGTCCTCTTTTTTTATTGGTTAGATATGGTAACCCTACTGAGGGAATACCCAGGGGTCAGGGAGAGAATTGTGGGGCTCAGGGGAACACAGCTGGAATAGAGAGAAACTGAGTGGGGAGAGAAAGGGATGTGTGTGGGGAGGGGGACTGAGGGGAACCTGGAGAGAGAATATGAGAGCAAGCGAGATTGGCTGGGGAGGGGAGAACCAGAAGGTAGGAGAAGGGGGAGGGATGGTGAGAGATACAATGGCAGTTCCCCCAGCCCATGGGGGAGGAGAGGGGCAGGGGGCTACCCCACCCAGCAGGCAGTGGGGAATTTTTTTCCCTATAAATGGTCAAACAAGCATTGGAGGTGGGAGGTGGGAGGGCAGGGGACTTCCCACTAAGGGCTCAGAATTTATAGGGCAAATATTCCCCCCTCTCCCTCCTTCCCCCCACACATCCTGCTCCCAATTTAGTCTTTTTGGGTTTTATTTAAGACAGTCTCATTATTTGTGGGTCTGACTCCTGCGTGTTAAATGTTTGGGGTTGACAGGACTGAACAGGGCCCTGCTCTGATTTCTGTGCAGGATTCTGTGTTAAACCAGAGTGATTGCTAGCAAGAGCAGGCAAGGAATCCAACTGGTATTTATTTTGGTTGGTTTAGTTCCATTCAATCTGTTCAGTTTCATTTCTGGTTCTAGCCACCCAGAGAAACACAAATAAAAGTTCAGATACCAGTTTAAATCCTATTTCAGTCTTAGTGGAGGTAAATTCAAAAAAGAGAGCTGCAACTTAAAATGTAAAATGTTTTGAATATTGGCTGTTTATTTGTTTTTTACTTTACCATTACTTGAGTTTTCCTAGTGCTTTTGTGTTGTGAAATTAACAAGATTTTTTTTTTCATGCACAATTTGTTTGAGCAACCTAAAATAACATCTTTGCTTGGCCATATTGGACCTCTGCAGTGAAAGGATACATCTGAGGCCTGGAAATTTTCTTTCAACACTCACTTGTGTTAGTGGAACTGCCAGTACAATTTTTGCTAGTTGATTCAGCTTGGGCATGACATTTTTCAGATGTTCCCAGTAGTCTGATATGTTTTCTTTCTTATGGAGATGTGGCCCATCTGTGAATGAATCAGAAATTGGCCCATTCCTTTTTTAGGCTTTCCTTCATCCAGATATTGCTTCCTTTTTAGAGATTTCAAAAGCTTTCAGAAGATGTTCCAATTCATCTTTCAATTTCAGACGTGTCGGACATTCATTCTATGACATCTTTATTTCTGACTTCTGACTCAAACATTTCCATCTTCATTCATGTTGTGGTGTAATGAAATTTTGCCTTGACTTTATCCTCTGCTGACAGTGGGGGTTGATACCTAGGATCAAGATATACATATGAGAGAAACATATCTATCTGGGGTAGGGGTGCGGGATTGGAGGTGGGTATCAGACAGTGTCCTTGGGAGTGGGCCCTGTTGGCAGCTTCAGTGGGGAAGGGAGTTTGGAGCCTCAAGTGGAGCAACTGGAGGGAGAAGCTGCCCCAGGGGCTGGGGATGGTGGGAGGAGGCCTGTCTAAGGGGAGAAGGTTGGGGAGCTATTATCTTTGCCCTTGGGCTTGAAGAGTTATTATGAACTTCAGGGCCCAGGGAGCATCCCCCCTCTTCTCTCCTCAGGGGGGGCATCTCAGAGATGGTTCCTCTACCTCTGGGCCCCCCTTCTGCCTTCCATGGTGTATAGGCAGCTCCTAAGCTTCCCCTCTCACTAACTGCACTTGTGGGCTGGCCCCCTTCTCTTCTCACTATCCTGGGGCTGGCCATTCTGGGAGCCATCGCCAGCCCATTGGCTAGTTTCTTTCTGCTCTTAAAATGAAAATAAGATCACTGTAGTTTTTTAAATAGATTGAGCTTACAAAATGCTGAATATCTATTTTAACTGGTAATAGTCCCCCACCACCACCACCACCTCCCTTTTTTTGTTCAGTTCAGTCAGTAAAACAAAATTATGGTTCAATTTTGGTTCCGGTTCCAGTATGAAATACTGGCCTGGGGACAATGTCAGGGGGGATCCCCTGTGACGGAGTAGGGAGTGGGGTAGATTGACCTGGGAATGTTGCATGGGACTTTTACTAGGACTGTCTGCATTGGTGATGGGATATCAGGGTGTGACTTCACTTGAGGGATGATACCTGAGCCCAGGAAGGGGGTTGGGGCCAGGTGATACCTTTGCCTGGGAACCAGGACAAAGGCTGGAGGAGAAGCCAGGGGGAGGCTGGGTGAGACTGCTGGAGGGGGTTTCAGTTGGGAGTTGACTGGGGAAATGGAGGGAGCCCCCAGGCTGGGGTCTAAGCTCCTGCCCCCCAGATGGACCTGACTGAGGGGGTCCTGTTGTCTACACCTACAAGCTCTGATTTGGACTGTGTTCCTGTCATCTAATAAACCTTCTGTTTTACTGGCTGGCTGAGAGTCACGTAAATCGCAGGAAGTGGGGTGGTGCAGGGCCCTGACTCCTCCACACTCCGTGACACCCTCAAAGTGGCTCCTTTGATTCTGCTCTTTTCTAGGGTTTGACTGTGTTCCTGGGAGGGTTTAAAAGTGTCTCATGGGTTTAGTCCCAATGGGAGGGGTCAGGTCTGTGTTGTAATAATGTAACTGGGGTTTTTCCAAGGATGGCAGAGTGTCTGTCTGCAAGGAAAGAGCCTGGGAGGAATCAGGGTGTGAAATGGACTAACACTAATTCAGAAACCTCCCCAATTGCCCTTCTCACCCCGACAGGTTGCAGAATGACAACCACGTTTTGCTCCAGATCATCTTCCTAGGGGACAGGGCAGGGAAATGGCTGTGGTGGATCCAGGTCAGGTTGGGGATTTTAGGGGGAGCTGCTGGGAAGGATTGTTGTAGAGGGGGAGGGGCAGGAAATACACAGGGTGAGGCAGGGAGAGGGACAAGGTGTGATAATCCTGTTGGATTATCCATGCTCAGTTTAGGGCCTGATTTATGAACAGGCCTATTGGGGATGGGGTGAAAATTCCCCCATTTCTGAAACAGGAGACAGCCCCCCTGGACAGGGCTGGGAAAACAGACCAGAGTGCTGGAGCCTGAACCCACTAGGCAGAGACTGTGGTGAAATATAAAGGGAAGGTGCTGGAATTCCTGTCCCTGTCCCCTGCATGGAGCTCTGCTTTCCACATCAGCCTGTGTCTAGTATGTGTGTGGTCAATGAAAAGACCCTGCCCTCTATCCTCTGCTGGGAGGGTCAAGGAGCTCTCACCTTCTCTGTGTTTCGTGGAGACTCATGGCCACTCTTGAGTGGGGTGGGGCTAGAATTCTGCTCCTCCAGGCCTCCCAGAGCTGTCGTATTTTGGTGCTATTTCCCCCATAAACAGTGGGATTGTGGCTGGGGCAGCAGGGTACTGAGTGGGGAGCACTTGTTTTTTCAGATGCCAGTGACCTTCGAGGAGGTGGCTGCGTATTTCACCGAGAGGCAGGGGGCTCTGCTGGACCCCAGTCAGAGAGCCCTCTACAAGGATGTCATGCAGGAGAATTATGAGACTGTGACCTCACAGGGTAAGTATTCCTGTCCCCTCAAACTATTTTAAGCCAAGGGGTCTGCATTTCTGCATCTGGTCAGGTTCTTCCCTGGTCAGTTAGATTAGAGGGAAATGGGTCTCATTGTCCACAGCTCCAGTTTGAGAGACCCATTCGCCCCCATACACCCTCCAGCGGGATAGGGGAGTCATTAACCTAATGGACATGCTAGTTCATCTGCATCCCTCCAGCTTTCCCGTGGGCAGAAGCAGTGTATTATGTTTGGGGAATTAATTCTTACTCACACACAGGATCTCTGTGCACCTCCCTTCCTGGGACTGGCTCCTGTGACACTCTATACCTTGGGAGGGCCCCCTATAGCCCCCATATTCCTCATCTGTATATAATTGTGATATTGCATAGAAAGCATGTCATGTGAGGTATTAGGGAAAAGGTTAAGATTGGCTTATGGTCACTGTTCTATCTAAATATGTGTATCTTTAGTGCATATGAAGTTATGAGACTGTGTTATACGGTTGTCACTAAAATATACTGTGGGTTTGGGAGTTGCTCAGATACTGGCTCTACAGAGACAATGAAAAGGGAGGTAATCAACACCCAGGTGGGTGCTATTGAGCAGAAATCACCAGCCATTGTCCAGCAAGGGAGTTACAATTCAGTGACTCACCTGCATGAAGCCACGCCAGGGGGATTGCTCAGCCTGGCTCTGGAGACTCAGCAAAGCCCCCAGACATGCCTGGACTTGTGCTCCCCAACCACATGGCTCTGAGGGTATAAAACAGAACACAGGCCCAGCATGTGGCCACTTTCTCCTTCACCTTCCTACACTGCAAGCAGCAAGGATGCTGAAGACTTGAGACTCCAACTGAGGGGACTGTCCCAGATTTCAAAGGTGAAATCTATATACTATGGACTCCAGTATCCACTGGGGTGAGAGAAACTGCTTAATCTAGATGTTGCCAAGTCTTATAGGGTTGAAAGTTTAGACTGTGTGCTTATATTTTATTTCTTTTGGTAACTAACTCTGACTTTTTGCCTAGCACTTAATACTACTTAAAATCTGTCTTTTATAGTCAATAAACTTGTTTAACTTTACCAGTGAGTTTTCCTGAAGTGAATGGTAAATTGCTCCGGTATCAAAAGCTGGTGTATATCCACTTTCCATTGATGAAGTAGTGAACCAATTAATAAATTTAGATGGTATATTCCTAAATTACAGTGTTGGGAGCTGGGGTGATTTGGCTGTGGTGCCTCTCTCTGTGTGATTCATGAGTGGCTCTGGGAGCATTCATGCAGTCTAGCTGGGTGTGGAGGCTCCACATGTGGTTGTGCTGAGTGATCACAGCATGTGGAGGGGTTCCTGCTGGTCACTAGCAAGGCATTGTGAGAGACAGCCCAGGCTGGAGAGAGTTCAGGGGGGCACAGTGGTCCCACAGTCCCAGGCTACACCCCGGGGCGGGGGGGCTGTCCCATCACAGCTCCATCTGTGGGGAGGGCTCTGGAGGTTTACACAGAGACAGGGGGTTAACACTAGAGCTGTGTGTGCTTCAGCAAGTCCCCCAGAGCACACAGATCCTGAACACTCCTAGTGAGGGTGTGACAACTTGCCCTCCCCCAGACATTGGTCTCTCCCAAGGGGGCTCAGTGACCATGTTTCCATCTGTTCAGACCCCCACAACCCCCAAAAAAATCATGGGCTCAGTTTAAACTCAATGTGTGTCCTTTGTGACAAATACTCCACTGATCCTCAGTGCACTCATATCATGCCTGATTTCACCCCCGAGGAGGACTCCCCATTCCCAAACCTGACCTGATCGCCCAGCTGGAAGCAGGGGAAGAGCCATGGGTCCCGGATCTCCAGGTCTCTGAGGAAAAGAAGATCCCAAGAGGCACCCACCCAGGTGAGAAGTCAGTGATATTGGCACAAAAACTATATGGTAAGTGAAGGAAAAAGTTGAAAATCCCCAAAATGTGGTGTGAGCCCCCTCAGTTCTCCTCATCCCACCCAGGTCAGGTTGTGGTCAACAGGTGTCATATCATCATGGCAGATATTGCTCATGGCTTCCCACCCACCCTGTTAGCTGTCAGGCATTTTCTCCCTGACTTCACTTCCCTGTGAGTGTTTGGATGGGATGTTGAGGCAGAATCCAATTTCTCAGGCTCCCCAACAGTTATTGTGTTGTGTTTTCCTTCTTTGTTATTCCCCTTTCTGCTAGCTCAGGCAATGACTCCTGCTGGGACTCTCTCCCTTCCTCAGCAGGTGATGAGACAATGAGTGAGAATGAGGAGGGAGATCTACAGCAGGAAGGACTTGAGCAAATGGAACTCCAGGGGACCTTCTTGAGAAAAGCTGGAGAGAAGTTCTCCCAGTGCTTGGAACAGAGAAAAGCCTGGAGTAATTGGCACAGGTCAGAAAGGAAACAGGGAAAATGTCAAAGGAAGAAAATGGAGGAATCCATTGAATGTGGGAGAGGAGGCAAGGATCCCAAGGAATCCGCAGCCCAGCAGACAAATCAGAAGGAGAAGAAACCATATACATGCTTGGACTGTGGGAAAAGCTTCAGTCAGTGCTCAGGCCTTATTTGTCACAGGAGAATCCACACAGGAGAGAGGCCATATAAATGCCTTCAGTGTGGGAAAAGTTTCAATGCACCATCAGTCCTTCTTGTACATCAGCGAACCCACACAGGAGAGAAACCCTTTAAATGCTTGGACTGTGGGAAAAACTTCAGTCAGCACTCAGGACTTATTAACCACAGGAGAATCCACACGGGAGAGAGACCATATAAATGCCTTCAGTGTGGGAAAAGTTTCATTGTAACATCAGCCCTTATTACACATCAGAGAACCCACATGGGAGAGAGACCCTATAAATGCTTGGACTGTGGGAAAAGCTTCAATTGGAGCTCAAATCTTACTACCTATCGGAGACTGCACACGGGAGAGAGACCTTATAAATGCTTGGACTGTGGGAAAAGCTTCAGTCGGCGCTCAATCCTTATAAGACATGGGAGAATCCACACAGAAAACTGTGAAAATGCCTCCGCTGTAGGAAAAGTTTGTCAGAACTCGCACCTTATTAGACATCAGACAATCCACATAAGAGAGAATCCGCATAAATGGTGGGAAAGGCTTCAATCCCAGGCCAAATCTTCCTAAACATCAGAGAATTCACAAGGGACAGAATCTATAAGTGCCTCAACTGTGGCAAAAGTTTCATTTGAATATCAAACCTTGCTTCACATTAGACGATCCACACAAGAGAGAGCCCATAAATACTTGGATTGTGGGAAAATCTTCAATAATTGCAGGGAAAGATTCAGTCTAAGCTCACACATTGTTCCCTCATGAGCTAATTCACAGAAGAAAGAGCTTGAATGTGGGGGTATCTTCTTTTGGTGCTCACACAGCATCAAGCATCAGCAAATCCAAACAGGGAGGAGCCCTCTCAGATGTCCTTAACATGGAATAGGTTCAGTTGGAGCTAACACCACATTGAACATCAGAGACTCCTCCACACAGGAGAGAAATTCTCTCAGTGCCCTGACTAGGGCTGGACGTAGTAAAAACTCCATTTCCTAATTCCCACATACATCAGTGACATTTGGCTCCTAGGTATCCAGCTGCCCATGTCTGGGGGCAGGTTCCAGCAGCAGCTAACCCTGATCTGATCAGCCGCTCCTCCCTGCTGATGGGCTTTCCTGCCTCCTGGTAACCTGCTGAGGAATGGGAGAGAGAAATTCCTCCAGAAGCCCCCTCTGCCTGGATGAAGTTCTCTTTCCTTTCCCTTCCCAGTCAGGATGCCCCTACCATAGAGACTAGGAAATGGATACTTGGGCAAGGCTCCACATTCACTCTGGACACCTGTCCCCACCCCCCATTTTCCAGTAGCCTATGGGTTGGGCTCCCCCACTTACCTGGAGCTAGTCCCTGCAGGGTGAGTGTCCTGAGTGCTGGCAACTCTTCCCCTCTCTAAATCCCCTAAGGTGCTGGGTTCTGGGAGATCAAATGTGAAGGGACCAGGAGGGATGGGTTTTGGGGAAGACAGTGGGTGACTGAATGGTTGGGTCTGGTGGATGTGGGGAGAATAGGGTACTCGGTGCTGGGGAAATCAAGTGTTAAGGATCGTGGGATAAGAGAGGAGAGTACAGGGAAGAGAGGTGCTGCCTCTTATCACTCACCCCTTCTGTATTCAGAAAGCTCCACTGAGGGGCTGATTTCCACAGGGACTTGTGGGAGGCCTAAAGGCTTTGGGATCCCACCTCTGCCTCCTCAGCATCAGCCTCCGAGGGTCCGTCTGTGTTGGGAAAGGTTGTGGAGATTAGCTAGCAAATCTCCCCTGAACTCCCCCTCCCCCCTTGCACTTGTCCTAGTCTAGACTGACCCCAAACATCTTATATGTTCTCTTCCCCCCATTAGCAGAGTGATTGTTAGTCACTGAGTTCCCCCTTTGGGGAGAGATTGTCTCATTCCCACATAATCTCACATTGCTCCAGGTTATGCAAAGAAAAAAAATTACTTTTTGTACTCTGACTCCCTTAGAGACCAGAATTAAATAGATTCTAAATTCTGGAGCAGGGACAGGAAAATGTGTGTTTAGGTTCTGTGTTATTTGAGAGTGATGGGGTGAATTGGAGGGATATCTCCTGGGATACTCATTTTTAAAGGCTATTAGAGTTTGGGTAAGTTTTTCAAAAGCATATTTTCCAAAATGATGTAGGGTTGGGTTTTTAAAGGTATCAGGCACCTGACAATGCAGATAAGGGCCCAGTAGGGTGTTCAAAGCAAGCTAGGCACCAGGGGCTAGATCCAAAAAAAGATTTAGGTGCCTGGCTACTACTTTCACTTTAGGTACCTGAATCTGATGGTTAGATGCTGCCGATCCACAAACCACCACTCAGTGGCTGCCTAGCTGTGTAGGTGTCTAAAGCCCCTACACACCTAAATTTCTGAGGTTGAAATCACCCCGATGCCTAACAATCTGCTACTGGGCATGCTCACTGCTGCCTCAGTCTAGGCAGCCAGACCCGTATTTCATACCTCAGCCCCAACACGCTCCTCAAATTAAGTGTTCCCTGGCCTATTTCACTTGTGGGGCCCAGTTTGATAGGCCATTGAGCACTGGGTGTTGCGGGCCCAGCAGAAATTGTCTGCAGTCTATGGACAGCAGGACTTTAAATAACTCCAGACAGATGGGACAATGAGTTTCTTCCTGCAGACTCTCAGTTGGATTGGCAGCAGTCATGGCTCTTCGGGAGAGGAGCCGCCCCTGGATTTCCTTCTGAGCCTCAGCCTGGAGCAACAGTTGGATGGTCCCCTCCCTGATACAGACTGGAGCTTGCTGAACTGAAATGACGCTCTAGGCAGTGGTACAGCTCCTGGGGGCTGGGGTGAGACTTGCCTGCTCTAGCTAAGAACTAAAGGAACTAAAGCCTGGAGCCACAAAGGGACCTCACAGCACCAAACTTTTAGACAGCAAGAAAATCACTAGAACCCACAAAGCCTGAGTTACGTACCCAGGCTCCCTGTACAATGATGGGGAGAAGGAGGTGCCTGAGAATGGGATCCACAAAAACCAGCAAGCTGGGCAGCACCACAACAAAGCTAGCCAATGGGAAATGCCGATGAGAGGGGTGTGTCCTAAGCCCCACCCCTTTCTGGAACTTAGGCACCTAAGTCTGGCCAGGAGGAAGATGCTTGTGTCTTCTTGGGATCCAGAGCTAGGAATCCCTCTCCTGGAGTTAGGTGCTTAGATTATTCTGCACAAAAACAAGGCACCAGAGGAGGAAGAGGTCATGGTGCTGCTGCCTCACTTACTGTATTTAAAGTACTCGACCAGGATGTGGGAGTCCAGGATTCAATGTCCCCTGTCTCTCTCTCTCATGGGGAGAAAAGATCTGAACAAGGGTCTCCCATGTCTCAGGAGAGAGTTCTAAACCCTGAGCTATGAAGAGGCTTGGTAAAAGTCACTTGTTAAGTTTTTAAATAATTTCGATGGATAACATTGATGTTTAATTTTGCGGGTTTAATTTTTTTGTCAATTTAAATTTTCACAATTTCCTCAGTTCCGGGTTCATAGAGTCTAACAAAATGTACACAGTCCAATGTCCCCACAAAATAAAGGGTCTTCAACCCACCTCTGGTTGCCTGTGAATGGCACTCCCTTGGCTCAGGGCTTATAATATTTCTATCCTCTCCAAGGGAGGGAAAAGGGGTCAGTGTCCCCTCCGTGAAAGAAGTTGGTTAATATGGGAGCCTGGACCCTCCCTTGCCACTGGGCACATGGTCAAATGCCTCTCCCGTGATCCTCCAGATCCTCTCAGGCCTGGGGTAGCTGCTGCTAGTAGAATCTCTCCTGCAGTCTGGACTGCTGCACCCTTATCCAGGATCTCCCAAGGTAAGTCTCTCCCCATTCTGAGCTGTCTGGTTCTGGAAGGTGATTCATCAGTGCAAAGGTAACTCCCCTAGCCGACCCGGAGGGTGGGGGCATGGCTCTGGATCACTCAGCTCAGCGTAGCTGTCAGTCCACTTGTGGTGTCCAGTAATCTGGACATCTTCTCTGTTCTAATGTGCATGGGGGAGGGAGGGTGTTAGGGGAACCCAAGCCTGCCCCCTCCACTGGGTTCCAGCTCAGGGCGCTCAAGCTAGACAAGGAGAGTCAGGGTTTGCTGACCCTAACTGTGACCTGAGCTCCTTCCTACCTTCCCTGGGGCCTCTGCAGGCATCCTACCCACAGCTCCTAGTCTCCTAGGCCAGGAGTGTCTCTCCCCTGAGTCCCTCTGCAGGAGATGCTGGGGGAGAGGAGCTAGGGCTAGACCCTTAGTTCTGTCTGCCCCCAAGGGAGCCTGGAGCAAAGGGAAGTGGGCAGGGCCCTCCATGAGGACTTGCATCCCCAGGTGCTCCAGGGTGACAAGAAGGGACCAAAGCCTGGCATGACCCTGGCTGGAGCAGGGGCTGGAGCATGGTCCCTTAAAGGCCCAGGGTCACCACTGAACCAGGAAAAGAAGAACTTGACTCAAGCCTATTTCACTCCCTGCTCTGACTCTCCCTCCCCCAAGGGAACACTCACAGCCCCTGCAGCAGCAGATCCTACAGCCTGTTAGAGCCAGCCCTCCTACGTCTGAAGTCAGGAAGCTGGGGTCAGAAGTCGCTTATGTCAAATTCAGGGAGAGTGATGGTGAATCAGAGCAGGGCTGTGCTCTTCCTTATGGCTCTGGCTCTCTCCTGGAATACTGTGGAGTTGACGTGCTGTGGGGGAAGGAGGCAGTTCAGGATCAATGAGTAGGCGCAGCTGCTGGGCAAATGACCCTATCCCCAGGGGGCTGAGACATTGTGCCCAGGGAGAAATATCTGATTCATTGATTACAGAGCTTTAGAAGGGAATTGTTGCACCCAGGACAATGCTTATATGCTGCTGGTCACAACTTGTCATTGTCTCTCTTGACTGGGAGAACGTTCAGTGTCAGGGTTGGTCCCATCCTCTCTGAACCCAAGATTCATGAACAGCTCATCCGGAAGGAGAGAGACATCCCCCCACCCTCCCAGGCTCTAAAGTCCTTGGACTGTGAGGATAGTCCCCGCACAGGAATCTCAGTGCCACAGGAGATAAGAGCTGACTCCCTTGGGATTCTCCTGTTTCTCTAGGAAGGAGCCTGTGATTCTTATGTGAGGACCATCTCCTGGTTCTCATGAAGGGACAGGGGGGCACTGAGGTTCTCATTCCCCAAGCCAGTTGGGGCCCTGTAGT